TATAATCGTGTTCTTTTTATAATTAATGTTTACTCATGCACATTTATTTTACACTATACTCATTTTTTTATAAAACAAAATTGAGTAATTAAAACACAATATATAATAAACTAATAAAGATATATAATTAAAAAAAATAGAAAAATAAAAAATCAATACCTAAAACTTTTTATATTACACAAATTAAAAAAAAACTAAGTTAGAAAGTTGATTAGAAAAAGAGAAAATCTGGGACATTAAGTAATATTTTATATTATAGAGTTTCATGATAATTTAGTTTGAAATCAAAACAAAAAATTGTTAAAGAAAAAAACAAAAACCTGAAAAGGAAGAACCGAAAGAAAACAAAAAGGTTGTTACCGAATAAAACAAAAGAAAACAAAGAACTCAAAACAAGGAGTAAGCAACAAACGAACTAAATGCTATTATGTTAAACAAATTAAACCGCCGGATGTACGTACCACCGGCGGTACGATATAATTTACGGTATAATGGAGTGTTGGTATAATGGTATCTATTTGTTTGCAATCTTTTTCAAACAAGATTTTTTAAAACTAGGACAATCAACACACGTTTGGTATTATTATTATACATGTATGGAATAGCATCCCTGAATTTTTAAGTTACTATGCATAAAGTGGAACATGTTGAACTAGTAAAAACGTTTCTCGTCCATCCTCACGGTCGTCTCCTAGGCACGTCCTAGGTTTTTTTTCCGGCGGCGGCCTATCCAGGCCGTGGGTTCGGCCGATCTCTCCCCGGTAGGCAACTTATCTCATATATCTTCTCAGGGTATTGAGTTTTGTTGTCATCGCGGGGTTTTGTTTGGTTCGTTTTTCGTTTTCTACCGGACTTGCAATTGTGGTGAATCTGGATTCTGTTTGGACGAAGCTTTTGGTTTTTCTGCTTTACAAGAGCAGCGAACAAGTGAGGAAGCTTTCAGGAGGGTTTGAGGCTTTTGATTTTGGCAAGGGACAAGTTTAGCAAGGGGAAGATGGGGTGCTGCAGAATGTTGAAGACTAAGCCGAGCTGTTATTCTTTGACAGTTTGGGAATGAGCTTTGACGAAACAGATGGCTATTGGTGATAGCATGGAGTTTCTGTTGATAAATTCAGTCCCAATTAAGGATGTAATCCCACAAAACATGATAAATTTCAGAATCAAACACATCGAAGAACACTAACCAGTCGGGGAGAAACCAAACTTTGATTGTGTTGTAGAAGATGATGAAGCCATAGCCATGGATGTGTGTATTCTCTAAGGATACAAACAACAAATTCGATGGATTTCTAAGTCTCCCTTGGGTCTCTTATTATAGGTGTTCTTGTGACCCTTGGGAGGAGACACACCCCTTCTCATTTGTCGTAAGAATGGAACGAGCGGTCATTTATGTTTTGTATCAAAGAGAAACCCAATTGGCCCCTTATGTATTATTTAATGTTAAAACATACCCATCATATGTTAACTATACATAAATAAAGAGACCAAATATGTCATATGGCAAACTTAATGGTAAGACATAAATGTCCCCAATTTATATTAAATTATATAAATGGTCCAAGGGCACTTAAATGGAATATTTTCCAACATTCTCCCACTTGACCTTGAGATCATTTATACAATTATACATAAGTTAAAGTATTAGTTGGCCAAAAAAAAATTCATCTTACTCCATAATAATATCAAAGCAAACAAATACAGTCTAACGGGTCAATATAACCCGAGACCCCCATTAATCATACTTTGACACTTCTTAAAGAGTATAAGGATTAATATAAGCCAAATGACATTAAACTTAGGGTATTATGTTTGTCTATTAAAATAACTTTGTGTGCACAATGAAGAATAGACAAAACATACTTAGAGAGGAATTTTAAATCAAGTACTTGAAATTAATACATAAGATAGTTATTCAGGCACTGCGCTATAATTTCCTAAACAGGATCTTTCATCAAGCCCATATTAGTGACATGTCTTTGAAAAATACTGGGCGAAAGTCCTTTAGTGAGAGGATCTGCTAGCATATTATTCGTGCTGATGTGTTCGATACAAATTTTGTTTTCCTCCACTCTTTCTCGAACGAACAAATACTTTGTATCGAGGAACAATCCCGCTCCACTCGAACTGTTATTGTTTGAGAAGCTCACGGCCGCGGAATTGTCACAATAAATCCTTAGCGGTCTTGAGACAGAATTTACTACTTTGAATCCTTTGATAAGATTCCTTAGCAACATCCCATGACACGTTGCGTTGTACACCGCAACATATTCAGCCATCATTGTTGAAGTAGTCGTAAGTCTTTGCTTGTGGCTTTTCCAAGATATTGGCCCACCTGACAGCAAGAAAATGTATCCCGAAGTAGACTTCCTATCATCTTTGCACTTAGCAAAGTCAGAATCGGAATATCCCACCACTTCTAAATTATTAGACCTCTGGTAAGTAAGTTTGTACTCTTTAGTCCCTTGAAGATACCGCAAAACTTTCTTAGCGGCTTTCCAATGATCTAATCCTGGGTTAGATTGATATCTACCCAACATGCCGGATACATATGCGATATCTGGATGAGTACAAACTTGAGCATACATCAGGCTTCCAACTACAGAAGCATAAGGAATGAGTTTCATTTGCTCTTTCTCAACCTCGGTTTTTGGGCATTGGAATGACCCAAAAACGTCTCCCTTAACTACTGGAGCAACTGATGGAGAGCATTGTTGCATGTTAAAACGTTCTAAAATACGCTCAATGTATGCCTTTTGGGACAAACCTAACGTCCCTTTGACTCGATCTCGGTGAATTTCAATGCCTATAACATAAGAAGCTTCACCTGAATCTTTCATGTCAAAATGGCCAAATAATAAGCGTTTTGTTTCATGCAATAAATCCATATCACTACTTGCTAATAAGATGTCATCAACATATAACACAAGTATGATGAATTTGCTCCCACTCATTTTGAGATAAGTGCATTGATCTACTTTGTTTTTAATGAAGCCATTTGATTTCATGACTTCATCAAATTTGAGGTACCATTGTCGAGACGCTTGCTTGAGCCCATAAATAGACTTCTTGAGTTTACACACTAGATGTTCTTGACCCTTAGAAACATGACCTTCTGGTTGTATCATATAAACATCTTCGTGTAAATCTCCATTTAAGAAGGCTGTTTTGACGTCCATTTGATGTAGCTCAAGATCAAAGTGAGCTACTAAAGCCATAACGACCCTTAGGGAGTCCTTTCGAGAGACAAGTGAAAAGGTCTCTTGATAATCTACACCTTCCCTCTGAGTGTAGCCCTTAGCAACCAATCTTGCTTTGTATCTTTCAATGTTTCCATTTGGATCTAATTTAGTTTTAAAGACCCACTTGCTTCCAACGGGCTTATGACCCTTTGGTGATTCAACAAGTTCCCAAACATTGTTCTTCTCCATGGAAAGAAGTTCTTCATTCATGGCTTCTTTCCAATAAATCGATTGGTCACAATTAATGGCGTCATGGAAAGATACAGGATCTACGACTTTCCCTAAATCAAAGTCGTCTTCTTCATTTAAATATATCAAATATTCGTCAAAATTTGTGGGGCGTCTCACCCTTTGAGATCTCCTTAAGTATTGCTGATTTTCCGGAATTTCATTAGAAACAGGTGGAGATGGTTCAACATTTATTGGAGTTTCATTCGCCTCTTGACTTGTTGCATCATTATTATGAGGCGTATGACTTTCACTATGATCTTCAAGTGAAGAGTTAGGTAGAATGGGCAGTATAATAAGTGGATTCATTCCATCACCTTCTTGAAGTTCATCATTAATGTTTGAACCATTACTACTCCCACTAATGTTAGTATTCTCAAGGAATTCAGCATGTCGGGTCTCGACAATCCGGGTAGTATGAGATGGGCAATAGAACCTATATCCCTTAGATCTCTCGGGATAACCAATAAAGGAACAACTAATAGTTCTCATGTCAAGTTTCTTCAATTGAGGATTATACACTTTTGCTTCAGCCGGACAACCCCACACTTTTATGTACCGTAGACTAGGCTTCCTTCTCGTCCATAACTCATATGGAGTTTTAGGAACAGATTTAGATGGTACTCTATTCAATATGTGGGTTGCTGTTTTAAGGGCCTCGGTCCATAAAAATTGGGGAAGATTTGAGTTAGCCAACATACTTCGGACCATATCCATAAGAGTCCTATTCCGCCTTTCGGCAACCCCATTTTGTTGAGGGGTGCTAGGCATGGTATATTGGTTGATGATCCCATGTTCTTTACAAAATTCATGGAAAGAACCGGGAGCTTGACCAATATCAGTGTGTCGACCATAGAACTCACCACCCCTATCCGATCTCACTACTTTGATCTTTCGATCAAGTTGATTTTCAACTTCGGCTTTATAAGCCTTGAACATATCTAGTGATTCGGATTTTTCCTTAATCAAATATAGGTACATATAGCGTGAGTAATCATCTATGAAAGTAATAAAGGAGTTATGACCACTAATGGAATCGGGAAAAGGCCCACAAATATCCGTGTGTATTAATTCTAACAAACCGGTGCTTCGCGTGGCGCCTTTCTTAGTTTTCTTAGATAATTTCCCTTTCAAACACTTCACACATTTGTCATAATCTTAGAAGTCAAGATTTGGAAGAATGCCGTCTTTCACGAGTCTTATCATTCGATCTCGTGATATGTGGCCCAACCTTTGATGCCACAAATTGGACGACGATTCCAATTCTCTCTTTCTCTTGCAAGGATTTTCAGTTATATTAAATGACAATGGGGATTCCATAAAATTAGTGTCTAAGCATAACTTATAGAGGTTTCCCTCCATGCTACCAAATCCTATTACATTTGAGTTCAAGCTTATTGTCACTTTATTGTATACGAAATTAAATGTAAAACCATCAGCACGTAGTTTCGATACAGACACTAAATTACGAGTAATATTAGGTACATAAAGAGCATCACGAAGATGAAGAATGAAGCCATTCTCTAAAATTAATGAGATAGTTCCAATGGCCTCCACTTCTAATTCTTCTCCGTTGCCCACCTTAATCACTCTTTGCTTTCTTCCCAATGTCCGGATTGAATGGAATCCCTGCAGTGTGTTTGAAACATGAACCATTGAACCAGAGTCAATCCACCAAGTATTAAGGGGAACTGATGTGTTCAATGACTCATAAATAACATAAGTGGTTAAGTTACCTTTCTTAGTCAACCATGCCTTAAACTTAGGACACTCCCTCTGGTAATGCCCTTTGAAACGGCAAAACTTACAGTAGGGACCAGAGTTCACGCTTGCACCTATCTTTGGACCTTAGAAATGTTACCTTTTCCTCCTCCTTGACGGTTGGCTTTCCTTTTCTTTGAGTTTGTGGTGGTGAGATGAGCAACATCTGGTCTTTCAGCTTTAAGGCGCTCTTCTTCTTGAACACACATAGCAATCAACTCGCTCATTGTCCACTTCTCTTTCTGCGTGTTGTAATTGATCTTGAATGGACCATAAGACGCAGGTAGAGAAGTCATTATGAAATGAACGAGGAAACCTTCACTGATCTCCATGTCCATACTTTTGAGCTTGTTAGACATATCAGACATTTTCATGATGTGCTCACGAATACCACTTACTCCATCATACTTACTCGTCAACATTTTGAGAATTAGGGTACTGGCATGTGCTTTAGAAGTGCCCTTAAATTGTTCTTCCACATATTCTAGGTAGGTCTTCGCATTTTCAGAGTCAGGAATGGCTCCGCGAATGGCTACAGATATGGAATTCTTAATCACCATGAGGCACATTCGGTTGGACCTCTCCCACTGTTCATAAGAACGCTTCTGTTCCACAGTGCTTTCATCATTAGGAGCACCTGGTGGATCCATTCTCAGTGCTTGGTCGAGATCCATCATGCCAAGTGAGAGTTTTATAGATTCTCTCCATGTTGAAAAGTTTGTGCCATTTAGAGGTTCTATCCCATAATTGTATGGGGTAACAGTAGATGCTGAAATAAAAGGTTTAACAGAGGCAATAATAGAAGCTATTTATAATATATAAGGGAATACAATAAGGCGTGTCAATTATTAGTAAATAAGCCTATTATCAACACCAAATAATAGGAAAATTCATATCGTGTTTAATAACTAACATTGCGTTGGCTAATGCTAACTATCAAACATTATGATATTAAAATTAAAATTAGGCTGCAAATATGTCATATATCACCTTTGGGCAGAAATATAACACATTCATTTATGCTTAAATTTCATTACATAAGTTATCAAATAACACACCTTTGGGTTTGTTAAAAGAAAACTCATATAATTGTTTAAGATAGTCAAAATCAATAATCTTCCGTTGGGCCGATCATTGAATTTGACATTAAGATCATTAATCAATAATCCATACTAAAACTTGGAATATGGAAGCAAATATTCATAAACAAATTTTACATCATATATTTGCATTTGTTATAAGTCAAAATCTGCAGATTAGTAACAGACTATTCAAACGGCTCAAATTAACAAATTTCCAGAATGGTATAATCAGTTTGTGTATAAGTATTCCTAACGAATTGTATACCAGCACTTAGGATAATTTTACACATTCGGGAAAATTTGAATGTCTTAACAGTTAACACACGAACCATGTGTATAATTAATAACTGATAGATGCATATCCGTTTATCATATCAAAATTTAGTGGTCTGCGTTTGTTAATCTTAATCAAGCAGACAAAATAATATCTACTCTGCATTAGACTGAATATACATTAGAGTGATTCTGCAAATTTATGATCTACAACCAAACTGACGATTGGATATCATTTTATCAAAATTTAATGGTATGTCATGTTCATCCTAGGGGTGAACAAAAAAACCGAAAAACCGAAACCGACCGCCAAACCGACCGAAACCGACCGACCAAAACCGAAACCGACCAAAACCGAAACCGACCAAAACCGAACCGATAAAACCGAAACCGACCGAAATTGACTAATTCATCGGTTATTCGGTTTACGGTTTGTACTTTTGGCTTAAAAAACCGGTCAAATGAAAATAAACCGGCAAAAATAGCTAAAATTGACCAAAATTGTCTCAATTTTTGTGGTCCGATTTTCGGTTTCATCTATTTTTAAAGCCGCTAAAACCGCCCGACTAAAACCGAAACCGATCAAAACCGACCGACTAAAAACTGAAACCGACTAAAACCGAACCGATAAAACCGAAACCGCCAAAACCGAACCGACGAACACCCCTAGTTCATCCTAATCAAACAAAGTAATATGCACTTCTAATGGCAGATAATATGTACTTTAGTTCATTCATACGTGCTAGAAAATTTTGCAGGTGCAAAAGCAAATTGATGCATCATTGGTTTATTAATTAATAATTGCAATTTCAGTTTTATTTTAAACCACCAAAAGGCAAACAAACAGATTCACATCAAAGGTGAATTTCAGTTTTAAACAAATTTGCAATTGCATATAAACTAAAAATTTGTTTCCAAATCGTTCCTATGCAAACAGATGGGAATCAAATAAAAGGCGAACTAGGAAACAAAGCCAACATTAAAAAATATGTTCATATACATTACGTTTGGTGATATACTGGTGTCGATGCTACAGGAAAATAAATTTCAAGTGCCGCAGACTTTCCGAAAACTTAATCGGATCAGTTTAAACTCAAAAATCATTTAGGCAGATTGAAAACTTCAAAATTTTATCAACGTAAAGTGAGAATTAACTGCTCTGATACCAAATGTTGATAAATTCAGTCCCAATTAAGGATGTAATCCCACAAAACATGATAAATTTCAGAATCAAACACATCGAAGAACACTAACCAGTCGGGGAGAAACCAAACTTTGATTGTGTTGTAGAAGATGATGAAGCCATAGCCATGTATGTGTGTATTCTCTAAGGATACAAACAACAAATTCGATGGATTTCTAAGTCTCCCTTGGGTCTCTTATTATAGGTGTTCTTGTGACCCTTGGGAGGAGACACACCCCTTCTCATTTGTCGTAAGAATGGAACGAGCGGTCATTTATGTTTTGTATCAAAGAGAAACCCAATTATTGGCCCCTTATGTATTATTTAATGTTAAAACATACCCATCATATGTTAACTATACATAAATAAAGAGACCAAATATGTCATATGACAAACTTAATGGTAAGACATAAATGTCCCCAATTTATATTAAATTATATAAATGGTCCAAGGGCACTTAAATGGAATATTTTCCAACAGTTTCTGGTGGTCGACTTCGTGTTGTCGGACTGGAAAATCAAATTTCAGGGGTTCATTGGTGGTTCATGTGTGAAAGAAGACGAAGGGATGTTGATCCGCCCACCTCCAGAACCGCCGCCTTGGCGCCTTGGAGGAATTCTGCGACCAGGGTTTGGACGAGTATTTCTATTTCTGCTGAGTCGATTGTGTTTTGTTTTTATTTTATTTCGATTGTGTTTTGCTGCTTATTTATTTTATGTTGTAAGACTTTTGCACTTGGATTGAGGGATGAGAGGCCTGCGGTAATCGTCGTAGTTTTGAATATGCCCAATTTAGGATTAGCGAGTTATATTGCTTTGTCAAAGGTGATTAACTCAGAGTCTCGTCCACGGGCGGATAGTTATTGTGGTCATTTTGTTATTTCAACCCCTTTCTGAGTGCTTTTTATGAATGAATGCCTGTTCGATGATAAAAAAAATGCATAAAGTGTCATGCTCATTCATAAGTTATTATGATTAGAGTTACTACTATAATCACTATATTAAATAGAGTTTTTTGAAATAAATTTTTGAAATATGGTCAGTAAATATTTTTTTGGAATAGTTCTATATGTCGTGATTATTTCATGGTAAAAAGTAGTTTAAATAGTTTGTGCATTTCATATTTTATTTATCAATAGAATATGAGATTTTTCCTAAAGTATTATTAAAATAAAATTTATACATAAAAATATATGATTAAAGTTATTATGAGGGTAAAAAATTGTACATATGAGACTATAAGAGTGACACTTAACTCGAGTTATGCATCATAAATAAAATGAGAACTCTTTTTGAGAAGAGGCAATAAACAATGATGCAGCAGTTCATTATGATCTACTCTGGCTTAAACTTCTCATTTAAAATTTCACAATTATTTAGATACTAGTTAAATAAAGTTGTTTGAGTATAATTTGAAAAGTAATTTTGATGTATCTATTATATTATAAGATGATGATAACTATGATGTTTTCAGTGTTTTATGTAGTATTTGATAACTACATTATCGTTTAATAGTGCTAATTATTTTGTAAATTTAAAATGAGAATTTTTAATTGAGCTGTCTAAAAGACAAAAGTTAAAATGGCGAGTATATACAATAATAGCAACCATTGCATTTTTCACTTTTGCTTTATTATGAATTTAATACAAAATTTTAGATTGTTCTTTTAAATGAGGATCAAAGTAATGTTGGTTTATATTACATCGTATATCACAAATCATGCATTCTTCAAATTCTATTTTGAGAAGCACAAGCTAACACCCTTAAATAAAAAAAGGCATGTTCTACAAATTTGCTACTTTATTTCATTTGAGATTTTGTAAAGGTACCACTTCTGTCGAGGCTTAAATTTCTCGTTCACAATTGACACAATTACTTTTAAATAATTTTATAGTAGTTAAATACTCCGTAAGATAACTCAACTATATCTTAAGAAGTAATTTTGGGATAATTATATAATATAATGAGGTAATTAGTGATAATTGAAATCTTATAAATATATTATTTTTATTATTTGATCACGGATTTGTTGGAGTATTTAAGAGTGCTTATTTTTTAAAACAGAAATGAAAAGCTTAGTGCCTGATAAACCTGTTTTTTCGGCTTATAACCAATTTTGATTTCGCGTATTGAGTTTTGTAATAATCAAAATTAATAAGATTGATGTTACTTCTATAGTTGAATTGATTGAAGTTACTATAGATAATCACTTATGCTATTTTTGGAAGAAAGAGGCTTAGATTGATATCACAGCATTCAGATAGGGGTTAAAACAACAAAAGGACCACATGTAACCATCAGCCCTTGAACCAGACTCAGAGTTAATCACCTTTGACAAAGAAATATAACTCACTGATCCTAAATTGGGGAGATATTACCCGAAATAGGACTAAAAAGGTTTGGAAATTCCAAAATAGGACTGTCATGTTTTTATTCTCAAAATAGGACTAATTACTGTCATGTTTTGGCAATACCAGACTTCCAACATGGCAGTATTTTCCAAACATGACAGTAATTACTCCTATTTTGGGAATAAAAAACTTGGCAGTCCTATTTTGGAATTTTTAAACTGTTTTAGTCCTATTTCAGGAACTTTCCCTAAATTGGGCATAGCTGAGCCAAAGACTGTTTCCGCAGATCCCTCATCACCCAATCCTAATGCAAGAGTCTAACAATAGTAAAAGTAACCAACAGAAAAATAAACAGTCTGATATTCAAAAGTAAATCGCAAGAAAAAGGTAAAATTTAAAAGATGCTTCCAAACCATATACTCTTCTGCACTCCATGGCGGCGGTTCAGGAGGAGGACGCTCCAGCAGTACTGTAACTTCTCCCTCACCTTGCCTCTTATTCATCTCGTTCTCTACCAAGGCTCCTATGTCGCCACCTAACACAGATGACCTCGTATCCAGCACTGTTTCAGCCTCGTAGCGCCACGCTTCGTCCATGACCTGTGGCCGCCGGAGGCCAATCATCCAACTTCCGTCCCTGCACAACCTTCGACCGCCAGAGACTAAACATCATCTTCCCTCCGCTTAATCTCGACAAGCAAAAGAAGAAAAGAAGCCGCACAATTGATGGCGGAAGAAGAAACCCTGTACGTCTAAGCCCGCCTACGGCGACCGCTTCTCATTACAAACGATAGCGGAGAAAAAACCCTCGAACGTAGAGAGAGAAAAAAC